ACGTATTGACGACTCAACAATACCCAGAAGTTAACCCTCAAGTAGGCATTACGTAAGTATTACGGGCAACTTTGACATTCTGCACGAGAAACATTCGCTCATGGGCAGTGGCACTCATCGGAGCGTCTTCGTGGAGCTATTGTTATAGACTTTGCAGAGGTGTCGAAGGATTGTACAGGGGAAACGCAACACGGACTAAATTACTGATTATGAACTCTACAGCCCCCCGCACACAATATTCGCTCCTGGGCACCACTAGAGGGCCTTCATAGAGATACTATTAAGGGCTACAAGAGAAGCATATTGAGAAACGTCCAAATTTTTCTCTACCAATCACCGAGACAGCTACTTGTAGCAACTACAACAGCTGGACACCACTGACTCAGTGGCACGGAGGTGCCTACCTTACTGCGAGTGCGTACATGGTCGCTAGTCTCCAGTGATGGGAGAAACTACTTCGATTCCTCACGCTCGTCCTCTTTCGACCGCTTCTGCTGCAATTCTTTTGCCGCGTGGCTCTCATACTCCTCCACCAATAAAATAGCATTGTTGTTAGGCGAGTTCTTCCGCACTATATCATCACATCTGGTACCTCGGGAGAACTTGTTCAGCACCGGGTAGATGCGGAGTGCTAACTTAGCACTGCTAAGCCAGCCTGCCTCTTTCCTCGATAGTCTCGTTCGCGAGGGGCATCTTTCTGCAATGACCAGTATTTGCTCAGACTACGGAAGAGCATAATAGGCCATGTAAGGATCAGGATGCGTGTATGAAAGTCACGACATCTCGCATGGGCACCACTGGGGTGCCTGCAATACAGCACTGCACTGCAGATGAGTGATCTGTGTTGATCCAAATAAGTGATCTCGGATCACTCAGTACGAGTGATTCCGCCCAATACGAACTACCATCTAAACACAAATCCGCTCCCTCGTCCTTCTGTGACCATGTGCGGATTGCAATGATGTGGAAAATATGAAAATCCAACGAACCCTTAACGAATCTAAGTCTTTACTAACGACCTACTACCACTTACAATAGTCCATCCATCATCCTCCCAGTGCTGCAACTATACTTATCTATATCGACAGAACCAAAGAACTTTGCGAAATAGTCACCACTCAGAGACTTCGGAACTATAATGCAATGCTCAACACAATCACCAACAACCCACCAAGGTTCGACTCTCGCGTGCGAAATTTCAATTTCTTCTTCCGATTATAAAACAGCAAAAATTTGCTCCATTGCGGGGTTGCCCATTCGTAAAGCGGCAAATTGCTCCTCTGAAAAGTAGCAATTTGCTCAATAGCAGAAGGGGCAATTTATTGGTTTGCCCCTTTTTTGAGCAATATTGCTCAATTTTGTTACATAGTAGCACTTCACATAGCAGCAACTTTTGTATATTGTAGCAAATTTCTGAAATATAAACAAGCAAACGATATTCATTCGAGCAGTTTCTGTTATACAAAACAGCAAATTTGCGTATTTGTAAAGTGCATTTTGCTACTTTGCTCCTTTGTATATCAGCCATAGCGTTTTTACACACTAGCACAACAGCAAAAGCCGCAGAAAATATACATTCCAGCTAATTGGCACTTTTTTGCTATTTGCTCCTTTGCTATTTTGTAAATGAGCCGCGCGTGACAGAGGCTTCATAGAGAAGAGCACCGAGAAGAGGAGCGTCTGGAGTCCGGAAGAAACAGGACCTTGAGACAGATACTGAGGTCCAGCAACCAAGTACCACTCACTAAAGGGTGAGTAGGTCAACAGCCTACTGACAAGTACTGGTTCTCGCTCTGAGCGAGTCACGTAACTTATCATAAGTTAGTGCAGTGTTACCCGAGTGTCTCAGATTCGAATCTTCGTCGAGGTATACTTCGGAATTCAGCTATAGTCGAGGAAGTCGAGGTATATAGTACGTTGTTGCCTCAGGTTCCATCCCGATGAGCCCCATTTCGTATTTGATTTGTCCATTCTGGAATCCTTGCTGGAACCGATTTTAAAAATCGTGTCTACTGAACGCGAGTCGGAATTGATTTCGGAAGCGCTCTCGAGATCGATTTTCTACTTTCAAAATCGTGTTTATCGAACACGACTTCAGGAACGATTCCGAAAATCGATTCTGAGAATCAATTCCAGCGTCGCACACAGCCTTGTCTATTGAACGGGCGGAGTATGATTACCATAGTAAAAGACAACAAGTTCTTATGAAGGGGATCAAGTCCTTCTCTTCTCCTTTCAAGGACAAAATTCCTACGGGCACACAATTCAACATCGGTAGCGTTCGCCAAGACAAGTCTGGCGATTTTAACCCCACAATCAAAAAACTGAGGTGTGCTGTCAGCAACACAAGATGATGTTTTAAATCGCCAACACAACATCAAAGTCGAGTGGAACGAAAGCTTCCGATCTTCAATAACGGATAACTAAGCGATAATACTATCTCAAACACCGCATGAGAACTTAGTCTAATCAGAAACTCAATGCGATCGAATCTGTTCATACTACTACTGAGCTCGCTATAACTTGGTGATCTAACTCGATTGTGGGGAGTCAAGTACGGTATGAAATGCAATCGAGTCACAAGTCACTCTTACACC